ATAGCCTCCGCCGAGATTGACGAACGTGACCGAAACTCGGTCTGGAGAATATAATGATTTAACTCTTATTTGAGATACATCTATGGGTCACAACATCTTTTCACCGTAAGGTGGACTGTGTGATTGTAACAAACATTGTTAAGTCTTCGTTTCTTATATCAACTTGAGGACTACATATTGAATATTACTAGTTTTCTATACGGATTTTATCGCGTTTTATTAACTTATTTTATTTTTCCAATCTCTCTATTAACTAAGTGAGGCTTACAGATAAGAGTTTGTGAAGTATTCGTATACTTAATCCAATACTGTTTTATTTCGATAAAATGCTCATTTCACTTTCAGCAGGTCATTCTCTTATTTTATTAAGAGTTACGGCCACACTGCAGCTATATTATGGTTACAGCACGAATTAGTCAGCTAAACTGGGGAAGCACCACGCTCTTACACTCTATCAGCTTAAAACAACAAAATAATGCTGCTTGGTGAATGTAGAGAAGTAGATACCCTTTTATCTGGTAACGAGACATTCCATCTTAGCCCTCAGGCATGACAACGTACCCCTAATATTATTTTTAGTCGTGGATAGACAATATACATAGATGCGACTGCCCCTTTGTTTTAGTGTTCGTAAATTTGACTGGTGGTGGTCCTAGGTTCGAAGGCCGGGTAGGCATTCGAATGCAATTATTGGTTTTTATGACAAGACGTTGTCAATGGAGTCAGGGAGTTGGTAGTATTACAGCCGTGAATTTTGCACCTGAAATCTCTATGGTCAAGTCGGATAACCAACCCATAGGATTATGAGAGTAAAGTAATAGAGTGCGCTCTTTTGCTTGTTCATAGACTCGGAAACTATAACCCTGTGATGAGCAGAGAGACTAACCTTCTCTGTTTAAACTGGACAGCGTGACCGAAATTCAATCTGGGGACATTCTATGGGCCGCAGCATCCACTTACCATCAGGTAGACTGTGGGTTTGCTTATCATCCTACGTATAAAAATATTTTCACAATATTGCTAACAAAATGTAAAATGTTAATGTTTTCTGAATTATATACTTACATTTTGAATATTATAGCCGGTGTCATGATGCCTTAATAAAATGCGTAACAATGGAATAAATGTCATCGAGGCATATTTTGTTTAATATATATGAAGCCTTGATGTAGCAAGATCAATAAATTTGACTTTAAGAAACCTTGTTGAAGTATGTCACATGCACATTTTTGCAACTGGTTTTCTTTAGATGTGCTGCATGATGCGCCTACAACTTAAGCTTACTTTTGCTAAATTTATATTACGTAATATTTGAAACTGTGTTTTTTTTTAAGAATTTGCACAAATGTTTAGTAGGAAAGTTTATCAATTTTGTATTTTACTTTAGAGTATTAAGTATATCAAGTAATATACTCATACCGTGTAGTGTTAATGTCAGGAATATTCACTAACCCATATCGTGCAGGTGTCGTAAGATGCGACAGAGGGATACAAAAAAGGAGATGGGAAGCAGCGCCAACCCTCCGAGCTTGGCAACTATGTCAATTATCTCCTTTATGAAGCAAACTATGGAGAGGAATAATATATATTATAGGAGAATAGTAATTTAAAATAAAAATTAATTGCATATTTCTAATACAAGATCTTTCCCTATACATTTTTAATAGAACGAAACGAGCCACAGTCCACCCGATAGTAAGTGGATGCTGCGGCCAATACGAGTGCTCGTATATATCCACATCTATCCTCGATTAAGAATCAAAATGTAGATACAAAATTACCCCTGAGAACTAAGATGTATTTAGTAAGCAGCAATTAAGGTATCAGCAGTATTAAGGTGATTTTACACGCTAGTATTCTGTGAGAGCGTGGTCCTTTTCTAGTCGAGCTGACTCATTCGTATTACATTTATTCATATTACGAGTACTAATTTTAGGATGTTTTGTTCAACGTTTGTATTTTATTGTTTTCGCCCTTTAAATTCTAAATATTCACATTTCGGAAGTGAAATAGATGAAAATACGGTACTTAAATGGTGGAAAGATATATTATTTTTCTTCGAACACGTCACCTTCTTCATTAGTATGTAAGCAATTCATTACTGAGATGTCTCTTCTATAATAGATAGGATTTTGTAATAGTCAGGCATGGCGGGCAAATTTTAAACGCACCATCAAATATGTTGTTTTTTCATTTTTATAAGCCAATGCTTGATTACTATTCCACGTGATGGTAAGTGGTGATATAGCAGAAGATGGTAAATCGTAGTAACATAGTTTAAAAAAACCAATGCACTCTTAAAGTGACGTCAAACACATTGTCATCTGATCTAAAGACAGATGCTGGCAAACTGATCTGCATCTTTGTTGTACGCATTATTACGAAGCTTATCGTAAGAATGCGTAGAATATTGACAAAAAAGGCTGAGATGTTGCTTCGTTAACGCTGCTAACGATTTGGCTATTTTACAACACATCAACACATATTATGAGTAAAGTAAAGTAAAGTTACAACCTATATAAGTCCCACTGCTGGGCACGGGCCTCCCCCCATTTCTGACAGGGTTTTAGGGCAAGGAAGTGTCCGTCACGCTGCCCTAATGCGTGTTGACGAACTTCACATGTCTTCGAAATATTTTTTTTTCTTATTCCTCAGACATGCAGGTTTCCTCACGATGTTTTCCTTCACCGCCGACTTCACGTGGTAAATCAGTACTTAAAATTGCAATTAACAATTTAATTGGTGCCGGCGGGGATAAAACCCGGGTTATCGCGTTCTATTACTGCGAGCGTTAACCATCTGAGCTACCACGGCTCATATTCTGAGAGATGGTTATAACTCGTAGATGAATTGCAATAAAGGATAAAAAATAATTAAATATTAATACCTCTCTCTATCGATTAACATAGCATTGAGGTATTCCTGGAATATTCCAACTTCCAGTCAAAACTTCTATACCCTCGGGACGTGATGGGGTATTAGATTCTCATTGGAAACCATTGCTCAGAGATGATATTTAAAGAAAAAGTCAAGAGTAATAGGGAAGGTCGTTTGATTTGAATTGATCTATATGTGGTAGAGCCATGTTGCAGTTATATTAGTACAATATTTGTAGCACGAATGGGTCGGCTCAACCGGGCAAGGACCACGCTCTCACAGAATACCAGCGTTAAATAGTAGCCTTATCATAGTTTTTTTGCACTTCCTCTATAAAAATCTTTGATAGGACTTACCTCAGTCGAGAGGATTTTCTGCAATTGCTGCGACTGATTAATATTTGCAATCCGTCTATCTGGTCCTCGAGCGCTTTAAACGACGCTTGCATTGCCGTGGAATAGTTACTCAACCATAAGGATTTCCTGGTTAATTTTTACTTTTACCCTTAAAATTTCACTTATAATATCATCATCATCATCATTAAAGTTCACGGGTCCACCGCTGAACAAAGGCCTCCCCCAAGGAATGCCACAAAATACAGACCTCAGCCACCTGCATCTATTGACTTCCTGCAAACCACATCATTAATTAATTTATTTTTATGTTCATTTTTGCTATGTATTTATTCTGTAATTATATACTTCATTATTTCAATATTGGTAAAAGGAAATAGGCTGCGGCGTATTCCTGATAAGTTAAAAACTGCAAATGGCCTATCCGTCTTTCCAGGCTTGGCAGGTATGATAAATATCCTCTGACCTTCCCCCCCCACACCTACGAGGCAATCTATGGGGTGGCCTATTTTCAGCAATGGGCTTTTGATAGGTTATAATGACTGTAAATAAATGATGATAAGTTATTAGAAATATTAGGATTTTTTAAAAGAGTAAAAAATATCGGCTAGAAATAATTTTTAAGAGTGATACCATTTTTGTCAATCTAACCGAACGTTTTAAATTTATTTCGTCTTTTTTGTCAGCCCGTCTTTTTTGTACACATAATAATAATCCTATAATTATGGATTACAACATTTACATTAACAATTATTCAATGATATGCGTTATAATTGAATCCAGTTTTTATCAATAGCCTCCACTTTCACATATATGTACTGTATATTACCGGTAATATAAGTTAAGTTGTAATTTTTTGACACATCTTATTATTTTTGCTTACGTCGTATTTGTACTTAGCGAAGTCTGAAATTCCAGTGCGTTGTGCTATTACCAGATGATATCTGAGAGAATCTTTACGGTAATATCTCAATATGGGCCCAGCGCAGGCTATCCCTTTGTCAAAAACCGACATAAAGTATATGCATCAGATCCGCAACTGTGTGTAATTGCTGCAAAAATTTTCATATAAATACCGGTGGTTAATCCGGACTGCATCATTTCTCTACCTGCAGTTCGCTTGTATCTTGCAAAACTCGTAACTGCAGTGTTGAGTCAACATGAATTACATCGTAAGTATCAAGTATTTTTGACAGTTCCATTGTTCGCTACGCGATTTCCGTAAAGCTCTTAGAGTAGTGCTGTTTTTCTAACAAACCAACTACCTAGATTTTCAAGTAAAAAAGTAAAGCTATTCGTAGCTTAACTGATGCTTTTGAGAGTACAATATATATATATATATATATATATATATATACTAGCTAGCCAGACAGACGTTGTTCTGCCCTTTTCGACGACCCTTTGTCATGTCCTATTAAAAATCCTTAAATTTGCAAAAAAAAATTTTGGTTCACTCATGGGCAAAAAAACTATCCTATCTCTCAAGTTGGACCAAACTGCACACGGTGTGCAAATTTGATTAAAATCGGTTAAGTAGTTTAGGAGTCCATCGCTGACAAAAAACGTGACACGTAATTTATATATATTAAGATATATTAGATAATAATAATATAGAAAATCTTACTTGTGAAACTTAAACTTTAAAACACATTTTTATTTTATATTTTGATGAATTAGGTATGTAGAAGAAAATCAAAGTACGAATTTAAATGAAACGTGCATTTAGGTAATATTTTTATCTACCAGGTAGTATTAGCGGTTGTTGTCGGCATGACGTCAGCAGACTTTCAGCCCATCCATCCGCAGCCCAGCCCAGTACATCAGCAGCAGCAGCTTTATACCTCTGAACCAGTTCCCATTATAAGACAGGAGCACATCCAAAACCCCGATGGATCTTATAAATGGAGGTAAGTTTGTTTCCTTTATTTGTACTTCATATCTTGATAATTTAAGTGGTTTTGTTTGTTGCTTATCAATTACATCGTATAACATAAAATGAAAACATCTTTGTTGCTATTTTTGTTACAATATTACACAGTAATAGTAAAATCTCTAGAGAGGCTATAAACTTTTATTTATTTAGCATAGACTGATGAAATGCTTTTATTAATCGTTTTTAGAGTTCCATAGTTAAAAAACTAAGAAACCTTATAGTTTCACCTTGTCCGCCCGTACATACATTCGATCCTAGGTGCTACAGATTTGTAATTTGGCATAGCTTTATTAACCACGCATCCAAAACTGTGAATTAAATTTAAAAAAAATATTTTGGGTACCTTGGTTACAGGTAAATGGAGGATGATTTATTTTAGTCGTCCATTCCATCGTTTAGGATATTGTTGGATAGCTATTTCAAAAACATTTGGGGAACGAAATAACAGTTTTACGATTCTATGGCCCGTTTGCGAAATTTTAGTTAAAGTGGTATTTTTCATTAGAGTTTTGTCCCCTCCCCCTCCCTCTACCAACTAAACCGCTGTTTCTTTAAATGTGAAAAGTATACAAAATAGTAGTATATATAATGAATTTAAAAGAAAAGCTATTACAGATAAGTAGAATTAACAAGTTAAGGAGTAATAGTCGACCAACTTATAGAATGCACTTGGACTAGTAAAAATTTCGTCACAACTCCATAGAAAATAACCAAAAACTAGCTGCGTTATTACTTTTTAATGTTATTGTAAACTGCAAGAAATAAACATTTTATGAAGTAAACGACTTATACGCATTACTACTATAGGTTTCATTTTTCCTTTGCGGGATAGGCCGAGAGGATTTTTCTTAGTTAGCCTATTTTTAGTTCGTAGTTATTATAGGCCTCATTCAAAGTATTCATACATTCATATAGCTTTACACAACATCATTCGGGGTACTCTTAGTTTATGCAGGCGACCCTCAGGATAGTTTAGGGCAGTGGTGGTTTACGGGAAGATTCATTACGGTTGCAGTGACGAGAATATATAGATAGAAAGTAAAATAAGCCCATCTTTTTTCATATAGATTTTATTATTTTCAAAATTAAAAACTTTTTAAAATATTTTATAATAAAATAAAAAAAATATATTAAAATACCATACCCTATAAGTCTGGTTGGAAAATAAGCTCTTCAGTTACCATTGTTCTATTTGGGCCCCTTTTTAGTCGTTGCAGCGCTCAAAACGCGAACACAATATGCTCATTTTCATGAAAGCCTCTTTTAAGTTCACTATTGTGACGGGCAACTACGAAACCCTACCTCTACTTTCAGTTAACAGCTAAGACTTTACATGACATGGTCACCCTTCTAATTTCATTCAAGAGACAGTCGCTGGTCTACGCTTAATTATACGCTATATCACATAAATGTACGTGGCTTTAGGGTGGTCCAAGGGCCACTCCAGCCGCAAATATTTGCAACGTTGTATTAGGCGCATCGGCTGAAAATCATTCAGGTCGCTAGATGTACGGCACCGTTTAGTAAAAAGGCTAATAAAGCTTATGTATTAGTCGTAATTTTGAATAATATGATTAATTAATGTTTACTACAATAAAAACAACGTTGTTTTTGTTTTGATACTCGTAAGTTCACTTATTGTTTAATATTTTCAGTTTATTTTTGTTTCGTAAGTGGTCTAGTTATGTAAAGTCAGTTATGAAAAATTCAAACACCAGCGGTACATGGTACACTCGAAGTTTTTATCCTTAAAATAAATTTGAAGTCCACCACACTGGTCGTCTGATTTTCGGCGACGTTTGAAATAGTAATAAATTATTGCGTGAAAATGTTTGTTGACGCAGATCCATTTTTAAATGAAACATGACATTTCTATAATTAACTTTAAAAAAAGAGGAAGGAGAAAGAGGGAGGAGGGAAATTTAAATTGGTACGTTCTTATAGAATATTTTGCAAAGCTGTTTGCATGACCTGACGTAATTATAAATTTAAAACACAGTTAATTTTTTTAGCTATGAAACTGGCAATGGTATAACTGCGGAAGAGCTTGGCTTCGTGAAAAACCTCGGAGTACCTGACCAAGAGGCACAGACTGCTCAAGGACAGTACCAGTACACCGCACCAGATGGACAGGTAACTACAGCTCAGATGGCTTCTAGTGTCTTTCTTATATTTACTGTTTTAATATGGTGGTATGGATCTTACGAAACGTTAAGCATCACATTTATTTTATTTATCATTTTATTTTATTGAGCGAATATGACCGAAGTAATTCTTACCAAATTTAGAATAAATTTCTCTCCGTACAAATACGTGACGGTAGCGAAACGGCCACATATTTTGACTAAGTTGACAAGCATGTGTAGCACATGAGATAATAATATAATTATAATAATTTATTGCTGCATAACAATGAATTAACATAAAATCCATATTAATATACTGTCTATATTCGCGAAATGTTAGTGGTTATAACATTTTTTGGCATTTCATAGTTGTCTCACGCCTAGATGTATTTATGTATCTATACAATAGCCCATAATACCCCACTGTGAGATGTAGGTCTCTCCAATAAGCAAGGATTACCATGCTTTACAGGCCAGGTGTTTACGGTGTTGGTATTTTAAAATAGGTTTTCAATGTCAACATAACTTGATTAATCAAGTTATGTTGACATTGAAAACCTAGATTTGGTGTCTAAGTCCAACTTATTTGATGAATTTTAAGTTATCACTAACATTAGAGGCAGGGAACTAGAGATAAGGAATAGATGTAATGTCAAAAAAGGAAAAGGGGATAAGTCACTCGCGTCCGTAGGCTATGACCACCTATTCCTAGGCCCACCCTACACGTGTCCCCCGAGTGGTGCTAAATGAGCGACAAGTCGATACCACAGACTCGGTTCCACGCCGTGGTAGCGGCGTAAAACATACTGCCCAATATTTTCGCACCATGAGGAACTATATAAAAGAAATGGCCCCGAGTTCCCGGCGCCCCTTTAATGGGGCAGGGGTGCGTAGAATCTCCGGGAGGAAAACCGGCGATGAGGTTCGCCACCCGTCACGTTCTGTCTCCCGGAGAGGCGAAAAGTGGATTACAGAGGCCCGTCTGGCTACGTTGAATGTATGTGGGGCAATGAATGATAAAATGGATGAAGTATGCGATATGATGTATGATAGAGGAATAGATGTGTGTAGCAGCCAGATTAATCAAACCGAAACGGGAATAAATAAGATATACTCCGCTGCTACCATAACGCGGAAGGCGAGAATAAATAAAAAAACATTTTATTTCCTAATTATTCTTGGCTACTGAGATACTGCGGACTGTATATAGATAATTTGACGTTCTTATAAAGAAACAAGAAGCAGCCGCAAATATCATTCAGCGCCACACCGACTTCACACGCCGCTATCGTCACGTATCCGTCGACCAATGGTGAGCCGTTTCTTCAACGCCGCAGTTCGTTTCCTCTTGCTGTTCCGGAGCTGTATTCCACACCGCCGCCGCCCGCCGACTACGCGTGCGCACCGATCTGCATGTCTTATATAGCCCGGTCCAGCGACGTAGCTTCGTGAACAACAAACAAGTCTCACGCCGGGAAACGAACGCCGGGGAACTTCCGCGTTATGGTAGCAGCGGAGTATATCTTATTTATTCCCGTTTCGGTTTGATTAATCTGGCTGCTACATGTGTTATGTGTAAATGAGACGAAAAGGAAGGGGAAGGATGTAACTACACATGGCATGTATACCGCATACTGGTCTGGTGTAGACGAGATCGAGCGGGCATGCCAGGGGGTAGGTATCATCCTTTCAGAAAGAATGGGCCAATGTGTGAAAGAGTATGAATGTGTAAGCCCAAGACTGCTATGGATACGAATGAAAGTGGGCTTAAAGAAGTTGTTTGTGTTAGGGGTCTACGCCCCAGACATGTCTAAGCCCACTTATATCCGAGAGCAGTTTTGGGAAATGGTAAGGATGGTGTTAATGAAGTTTAAGGGAAATGAAAATATTATTATGCTAGGAGATTTTAATGGAAGGGTTGGGGTGAGGAGGCTTGGTTATGAAAGGATATTGGGAACGTTTGGTGATGAAAGTATAAATGAGAATGGTGAAAGTCTCCTCACCGTATGTATGGAAAAGAATCTTTTTGTGACGAACACTTGCTTTCGCCACAAGAGGATTCACATGTATAATTGGGAAAGAGGTGACGATAGAAGCATGATAGATTTCATAATTGTGGATGAAAGATTGAGGGGCGCAGTGGTAGATACAAGGGTTTACCGGGGTTCTAACGTAGGAACGGATCATTATTTGGTTTTATGCCGAATTAATGGTCTATTCAGGCGTTGGCGCCATCGGTCATCTGTGTCTACCACTGCGTTACAGCGTATTAGAACAGAAAGGTTGCAAGATGAAGGTGAGAGAAACAAGTTCAAATGTAGACTGAAAGAAAATATAAGTGGTTTGGATGAATTATGTATGAGGGAGTTATACTTGGAGAATGTATGGCAAAATGTAAAGAAAGGTTTAGTGGATGCAGCTACCAAAGTATGTGGTGTTAGTAGGAGGAAGAATGAAAGGAAAAATAATACGTTATGGTGGGATGATGAGATACGTATGGAAGTTGAAGCAAAGAAGAGAGCATGGCTAGATTTACTAGCAACAAAGGCTGGTAATTCTAGTGGTACGAATGATGCTATTGAAAGAAAAAAGGCAGTCTTTAAACATCTTAATAAGAGAGTAAAGGAAGTAGTTGAAAGAAAAAAGCAAGAAAGAACGGATAAGAATGATAGAAGAATATCGGATAACTTCCAGGCAAATATTAAAATGTTCTGGAAACTTGTAAGAACTGCCAGGGGACATTCAAAACAGCCTATGATGAATGTTATAAGAGACGAGAATGGCTATATTCTGAAAGATAAAGTTTTGAGTTTAAAGAGATGGAAGGAATATTTTGAAAGCGTGTTTATAAGTGAGGAGACAACGTGTGTACTAAGTGAAGTAGAAACTCCGAAAAAAGAAGAAAGAGGTAGCGAGATAAGTATAGATGAAATAATGAAAGCAATAAAAAGCATGAAAGCAGGTAAGGCTGCGGGATATGATAGACTTTCACTCGAAATGCTAAGGGCTGGAGAGGAAGTCGTGGCAGGCCTGCTGCACACCTTGTTTAATTTATGCTGGGAACTGAAGCGGGTACCGGTAGACTGGTGCAAAGCCGTGATAGTCCCAGTATATAAAGGAAAAAGGTCGCAGCAGGACTGTAAAAACTACCGTGGCATCAGCCTTCTTAGCATTGTGGGAAAACTGTATGCTAAGGTACTGATTGAAAGGGTCATGAAAGAAACTGATGAAAAAATTTGGGATGTGAAAGCGGGATTCAGAAAGGGAATGGGATGTACAGATCAAGTATTTTCCATGCGCATGATCGCGGAGAAGTTTTTGGCCAAAAACCAAAAGGTTTTTTGTGCGTTCATGGACTTGGAAAAGGCCTATGACAGAGTGGATAGGGATGTGCTATGGCAAACACTGAAATCATTTGGGTTGAGCGCTGGCTTGATACAGGCATTGGAGTCTCTTTATAGGGACTCTAGTGCTTGTGTTAGAATCAACGGGGTCTACTCGGACTGGTTTGACATCCATAAAGGTGTCAGACAGGGCTGTGTGGCTTCCCCGTGGCTGTTCAACCTATTTATGGACAGTTGTTTGCAAAATTTGAAAGTTGAAGAATGCGGATTAAGAATGGGTGAGTTAACCGTCAAATGCCTTTTGTACGCCGATGATCAAGTTATCCTTGCGTCGTCCGCGGCCGAGTTGCAAATGATGGTTACATTAATGAACAGATCATTAAAAAAAAGGGGTATGAAAGTGAACGCAAGTAAGACGAAGGTTATGGTTTTTGAAAGAGAAGAAAGTAAAACGATTTGTGAAATAAGAATAGAAGGGGAGTTGATCGAGCAAGTAGATGAGTTTGTATATTTGGGCTGCGTATTTAGCAGGGATGGGAGATATGATAAGGATATAGAACGACGAGTGAATGCGGGAAATAGAGTAAATGGGGCCCTGCAGTCTATTGTGAAGAGTCAAAATGTGTCAAAAAAGGCACGTATGGCAATTCACAATGCTGTGTTGGTCCCTACTTTAACGTATGGTAGTGAAAGTTGGGTGTGGCAGAAGAAGCACGAGAGTAGAATCAACGCAGTAGAAATGCGGTCGTTAAGGAGTATTTTAGGGCTGAATCTGAACGACAGGGTAAGAAATTGTGTAATAAGAGAAGAGTGTGGTTTGCAAGATGATGTTGTGACCAGGATTAAGAAAGGAATGCTTCGGTGGTCTGGTCATGTGGAAAGAATGAATGAGGAAAGAGTGACAAAGAAAATTTATGTTGCAGAAGTGAATGGCAGAGTGGAAAAGGGACGTCCTAGGCGAAAATTTATCGACCAAATTGGCGATTTATTGAAAATGAGCCAAATTAGGAGTACCCTTAACCAACGAGCATGTATGCGTAGGTGTATGGATGTGAAGAAGGTGCGAGAGGTGTGTCAGGTTCATGCCAAATGGAAGTCTGTAGTCTCTGCCTACTCCTCTGGGTGACAGGCGTGAGTGTTTATGTTATGTTATGTTATACAGTGCAACCTTAATATAACGTACCTCAATATAACCACTTCCTCGATTTAACAAATTTTTCGTGATCCCCTTCAACTGTCCATAAGATTCAATATAAAATATTTAACATTGCGAACGTTTTTTGCGAACAACCTCTTTATAACGAATTTACAACTATCAATAAAGTGTAAATACCTCTAATAATTAACGAATTTTGTCAACCCAAGACTTTTATATAAAGTTTATTAGTAGAAGTTGTGAATAACACTATTTTTTACCTCTTTGTAACAAATTTTAGACCAACCTAACCTCAACATAACAAACCTCAGTTCAACGAATTACTTGATATAAGGAGTATTTACTTTTTTCTTCCGATTTGTTATATCGAGGATGCACTGTATTATATTATGGGAATTGAATTATTTGGAATTTATGAAAGAAGTTTTTGGTAGATCTTGATATCGACGGCGTGTTCACATTTATTTAGTATTTGAAATTATCCTCTAGTAAATCTGTCAGTTTACATGAGGGCTAATAGATGATTATGGCCAAATTTAAGTTATTATGTTCGTATTAAAGTATCTAGAAAAAATGGGCTTTTAATGATGTGAGAATTTTCATGGAAAAGGCTTGTCATGCTTTATGATAATCATTATGAAATTTTGCAAGGATTTCATATGTATGCACACCTCGTTTTCTGGATCTGTTTTCTTGGGTAAGTAAGTTATATATGTTTGAATTCAAAATATTTATTAAATAAAATAAATGTTAAGGTTTGATGTACTTATATCCTGCTGTAACAATTAAACATATTATAAACGTTAGATCAAAATTTATTACGAGTGCTTAATATAAATGACATGTTTATAAGGAGCTTGCCCAAGATAATACAAAAGTAATAACAGATATAATTTACCAGACATAATGATGTCAGTTTAAGGGATTATTAAATATTGAAACTTAATTTTATTTACTCGTGTTTCGTGACTTTTATAAAAGAGCTCTAATCTAACCTCACATAGTAATATCACACTAATAAATTACGTAAAATACCTTTTCTGATTGTGGTCACCAATAGCCTAAAGATCTTTCTCGCCACACTCGTCGTCGCATCGCATCGATATAACACAACTTTGCTAGTCTAGATCAAAGTCATATTATACCGGTGCGATGACTTAGTTAAAAATGATTTATGTTTATTTTATTTTAATACCAAAATCACTCCGTTTTATATCTATTTGTATCAAAGAAAATTACATTATTCGATCCATGTTTTACAATAGTTGTAAGAAAGTGACTAATTATCAAAAGTTGGTATAGTTTCTAAATTTTAGATCGAATATCAATTAAATTGATACAAACAGTCTATTTTTTGATGTTACTTATACGCCATAAGCGGGAAATGAAAACGTTCAAGATTTACTTCGAATATATATATATATATATATATATATATATATATATATACAATGCGTGTGTACAATAATTGATAGAGTAAAACGACTGTTTTTGCGATCACACACATGCACAGTACGTTAGAAATCCGGGTTTGATTATCGCCCGCACCAATTAAATTGTAAATTGCAATTTTAAATGATTTACCAAGTGCTTGGCGGTAAAAAAATACATCGTGGAGAAAGTTCCATGTTCTCAGACATGTGAATTTCATCAACACATACTGGAGGATCCCTATAGACAAAATGTTCCATAATCCTCTCAGAAGATGCCTGTGTCTGCATTTGCCCAGCGAGACGTATATTACTCGGGCTGTAATTTACTATTACTTTAATAACTTGAGTAAATGATAATTTCTATAATTTGTGAAAGTATTTTTTTTAAGTCAAACTGTATAAAATGGTTATATACTAGTTAATTATTATAATTAAAATTGGAAGTTAGGTTGTAAAAAAATATTTAATCCACATTTGTGTATCAATTTGTTTATTCTCAATGAAGGAAGAATAGCTTTTTAACACAATTCATGACCACAAGTGTGATTAGTTTGCCCTCATTTAGTGACTAACTAAGTTTTTAAATGCATCATTTATTATAATGCAAAATCAATAAGGACGAAACACGTTGCACCTGTATTAATGCCTGCAACATGATCAGTTCAGCTCCATCAGGAAAGGACCACGCTCTTACAGAATTACAACAATAACATCATAATACCTCTGCATCTGAGCCCTCAAGAGTGACAACGCAACTGCGTTTTGATTCTTAATCTGTAATAGATATAGGTGTCTATGGGCCACAATGAACTGTGTCCTCGTTTGTGCTCTTATTTCTAAAAAAATAACCGTATCCGTGTCTGAACGTTAAAGTTTTATTATGCTTAGAAATTTGTTTTAGTTTTATTAATAAGTAGAGATAATAATACAAATTTCTGACTATTATTTTTATGTGCTGAAATGAGGCTATACTCCTAACAAAAACGGTATTTGATTTTGTTATTGATTGTTTCGATTAATCCATTTGTTACAATTTGATTAATCGATACATAACAATAACAGTATAAATATGATATGACAATTAAAAAATGATATGACAATCATAATGTCATACTAGACAGTATAACAAGTCCTTACTGTTCTTTTAAACAAGTACACAATAATTATTATTACAAAACGCAGAAAGTTGCGTGCACTAACTTTTTGTGTGAATTGTCTACCTTGCCTCACTCTCCAGTGTCTGAAGTTATTTTAACTATTTCAAAACTTTGGTTTCGGCAACACCTTTAGGTGATTTTGGTCGGAGGCAGAATGCTTCTTTAGTTGAACTTGACTGAAGCCGAAGTTGAGGAGTTTTGGTGGATATGCTTAGGTTTAGACATCCTTTTCTTTAGTATTCCAAAAATGGGATCCATGGCAACTTCCAAATAAAAAATTAAAAGTTTTAAATAATGTACTTTTTATGTTATGTAATTTCAACTACTATAGTTCTAAGCAAAGTCGAGATTTATGTTGGTAAACATTGTATAGTAGGATTTATTTCGATAATCTATAACTAATTTTACACTTATTATTTTCAGATAATTCAGCTGCAATATGTTGCTGATGAAAATGGCTTCCAACCACAAGGAGCTCATATTCCCACTCCACCGCCAATCCCACAGGATATTCAGAAAGCTCTAGACTACTTAGCTACATTACCGCCTCAGAATCCCGACAATAGGGTCCTTGGTCGCCAGTAAAATTATTTTGATTTAATAAAAACATAGAGGCTTTATAACATACGTCAATAGTGCGTTAATTGTAATTATTAATATTAGTTTTGTGCTATTTAAAAGCAAATAAATTTGAAATGTTGAAAACAAACAAAAAAATTTGTAAGTATTTATTACTACAATTATGTATTATTTATTGAAATAAAGTACTATTAATCTAAAATAAATTGTTTTGTTAATAATTATATTATAGTCATTAAAATTAAACTTTTTGCATGATAATAAATAACGTATTAGTGTAAACATGTATAGGAGTAAATTTATATTACGGTAGTAATGTTTTTATCTCTTCACAAAACTATAATTTTATTCTTATAAATGCGCGTTGTGCTTACGTACTTGAGTTGGCCTTCATTTCAATAGATTAAATCCATGATGTAGTTTATCAAAGTGTAAACGTAATTCGCGCATACAATGTTTAACACAATTCTTTAAAATGGTGGGTTCATGATGATACTGAGTTCAGCGGATATATTAAAGCTTTACGCGAAGCAGGTTACCCACTCATATTTTTTCAGGTGGTCAATTATTAACTGGTCTTCTTATTATTATATAATAATTAGTTTTTGTCCACGTAGACTAGTTTATCTACCTAATATTGATAAGTTAGTATGGATAAATAATGTTATTATTTAAAAGGTTTATAAATTTTATAGAATCACTTTTGGTACGGTATTTTAAAAATTAACTTATGTTTGTAATACACATACATATAAAACAGTAATAAGGAATAAATGCAACAATTTAATATATCTAACTGGGAGAACATTTTGAACTATGCATTAAAACCATTGCGCTTCCGCATTATAACTCAAATATCTAGACAAAACATAGTGACAATAAACAAAAAACACAATTTTTATTGGTGAGGGCATAAATAGATCCATCCCCAGGTAGGGTGTCGAAAAAGGCATCATCGGAAAATGCTCGGAAAGTCTTGAAGCTTCCAATAGGTGGTATCACCATATCGTACATATGTAATACGTATGCATAACGACTACGGGACCAGGGTCATCAACGCCTACGTTTACCCACCTCGCAAGGGCAAGTAAGAGTTATGTCGGACTAGGAGCGACTGAAATCCCATGGTCAATTGACCATCAGGAGATGGGCTTCCTAATAACAACAAAAAAAAACCGTGATTGCCATCAACCTGTTGGCTAAGCGTGGTAAGTATGGCAAATATCTCCTTCATGAGGAAACCTACTCGGCCTATGCTCAGCAGTGGACTGTAATAGTCTGTAACTGTATCATTCGGAATCACAAAAGTTTAATACAAAGTTTTTTATAACGACTATCTTTTCCGAAATATTATTTTGTGTATCAACAGTTTGTATTTACATTGAATACACAAAGTATTTCATTTCCTAATAACATTAATACCTTTGTTCATATGTTATATCTATGTACCATGTTAAAACACGAAAAGCACAGGAAACATGCTGGGTGAGCGGCGATGTGGCATCTGTTGGTCTAAGCAGATGCGATAATATCGCAGCGTACAGCGCCCGGTGACCCCAGCTTACTCAATAACCGGTCGGTTCACTTTCTCCGCGCCGCGTGTCAAGGTCGCACGATCATCGCATCGCTATAAACTTCACATATTCGATACCTTGATGTTATTAACATGATGAAAACTCAATAGCTTTCGACGACCAGAAATATCAAAGTTTCGGAGGAGTACCTTATTTATTCTGTAAATTTCTATTACGATTACAATTACTATGTTCAAAACACAAAAATCGGCGAGTTACGGCGATTCAAGCCCTTGACTTTGTATATTATTTAAAAGGAATAGTAGACTTGAAGGGTAAGAAAGCCAGTATCATTCAAGTCTATGAGGTATATTATATTAGTCTTTAAGAGCAATAACGCATATTTTATGGCCTTCCGTGAAGTTGGTTGAGTATTTCATGGATGGTGGGAGTCATTAGCTATTAGTTAGTTTATGAGCCTCTTTGTCACTCTAATAATAAAAAAGTATATTGGATCATGTAGTATTGTGATAAATACGAAAATTGTTAGAATTTACATAGGTTGACTAAAGATTTTGCTAAAATTCTATTCATAGCCTTGTGCTTTATCTATTGTGAGCCAGTATTTTTGTATAGGTCTCCTTCCGCCAACGCACATATATTCTTATTTCGTTTACCCAGCGATACAGATAGAGTATAGACTTTCATTTGGCATGATGCTTCCTTATCATCCGCATACATGCTTGTCGGTTATGGGTACCTACTTTTAATCTGGTCCATCTTCAGTTAATAATCATCTTCATGTCATGATGCAAAAAGAATTATAAATGATGTTCACAACATTTGTAGACAGCATTCAAACATTTTCTCCAAAACTTGTTTGATTTTAATTTTTAGCAATACTTGAAAAACGCTCCTGTTCATTTAACGGAGTCAGCAGAGACTGTTATTCTGCAACCTCTACTTACTGTTGCATTAATTAGTTATATTTTTTTGGTTTGTTAATTTATGTATTGTCGTTACGCATTCACACGCGTAATATTGGTGGTATAATGGCTTTAAGGATCCGTATTTGATTAATTATATTGTTTTATTATTCACGTTAAATACGTTTATAGGTCGTAATGTCTAAATCAGATAAACCAATAATATCAAAATCAGAAAGACAATTAGAAGGTAAAATTAAATTAAAGGAAGGTAAACGAGCAGAACTATATTCTCGCATACAATCGTTTTTTGAAGAGAACCTCGAAACGATAGGGGAGCATTTTAGAAGCATTCCATAAAATGTTAAATGAAATATTGACTAACATACTGTTACGAGCTTGAGGTTCGTGACAATAAAAATTGCCGATAAAATTACCTAAATTAACACTTTAATTTTCTTTACACAAATTTAAACTTAAAACACTAATAATTAATCACACTGATTCACTTTATTCCGCTCCGAAGCTTCGCTTGTCTCACCAAATTCAATACTTCAAGGAGTTGCTCATAAGTCACTTCCTTCTTCTTCCAGCTCCAGCTTCCAGAACTGTTAAGGCCTGGTCGCGCAGGCCTAGTGTGAGAGCAGTCATGGCCTGACTTTTATTCCAGCCGTTCGCCTTCATAACAGCCTCGAACTGGATTTTGTAGGCTGACCAGGAAAAGGTACCGTCGAACGGTGGCACCTTGAACCCACGTAGCGAAGGTGTTGTAGCTACTACGGGAGCTGTAGCTCCATCTCCAAGTTTGAGTTCGTCCAGTGATTTCTTCATGTCAGCCATTACGTTGTCAACCCGATGGTTTACTTGGTCGATTCGGGTTTCAGCTTTCTCGATTCGGTTTTCAGCTTTCGCGATTTGGGTTTCAGCTTCCGACAGGCGGTTGTCATGCTGAGCAACCCTATCCTTCACCTCCTTTATCTCCTTCCCGAAGGTAGCGTGAAGGTCCTTCGCGAGGAGCATCTGCTCTTCCAACCGACGGGCCTGTTTCTCTTCGTCCGCCCCGCTGCTGCTCCTCTAAACGACGAACCTGGTCTTCCTGTCGGCGGGCCTGTTCCTCCTGACCGCCCCGCAGCTGCTCTTCCAATCGGCGTGCCTGTTCCGCCTGCTGGCGAGCCTGTTCCTCCTGTCGGCGAGCCTGTTCCTCCTGCTGCTCTTTCAACCAACGGGCCTGTTCCTCCTGTCGGCCCTGTTCCTCCTGTCGGCGAGCCTGCTCCTGCAGCATCACCATCAGAGCACCTAAGTCAGGTGCTGCAGATGTAGGGGCTACCGACGGGCCTGCAGCCGGTGGCTGGCCCTCCGACATCTGCAGCGTTGCACCACCAAATTTTCTTTGGTCCGTCTCCTGCTGGCGTTGACTTCGGGTACGGACACCCTCCGTTTCCTCCTTAGGTAAAATCGGCATGATTTTATCCCACTTCTGACACCAATTGTTACGAGCTTGAGGTTCGTGACAATAAAAATTGCCGATAGAATTACCTAAATTAACGCTTTAATTCACTTTACACTAATTATTAGTGTTTTTAGCTTTAATTAGTGTAAAGTGAATTAAAGTGTTAATTTAGGTAATTATATCGGCAATTTTTATTTTCACGAACCTCAAGCTCGTAACAATACTTTGAAAATGTTCAAAGAGCTTTTAATCGATATGATGATATCAATTGCGACAGAAGAAGAGGACATGCTTTGGCACCAGTAGTACCTATGTAAACGAAATTTGCTAGGAGGCAATTTAGAAGTCAGTCTGCTAAAATCTATAACTATATTAACAAAAAACTTAACATAATGCAAAACAGGTTATAGCGTGGTTAAAGACGATAGAGTATGAAGAAACTGAAAATTTATTGAAATAAATAGAACAATATACATCACAGCATAAATACTTACCGCAACACACACACACACACACACACACACACACTCGCGCGCGCGTACCGCACACACATAATTTAATGTATGCGCAATTTTATATGTATCTAAAATTGTTATGGAAGAACGCAGTCCCCTAACCAGGTATTTATATACTTAAAAGGAGAAACCAGCCTAGTTAATGTATTTAAATTTAAGATACTGAATAAAAAAATATGAATTTGAATTTTTGAATTTGAATGACATACCTGTAAAAATATCGTGTGGCGGCGCTGTCGTCGCACCGCAAGCGAAACATACCGAAGCCTAAATCACGTTATCAAAATTCCGAATCATAAACAGTATATATAGAACATCTCCGAACTATCACACGGAGCGTTGGCCGCTCCCCGGGCATAACACCTTGCCCGGCGGGAGATCTCCCCTTTTCCTTCCACGGCCACAATCGGATCTCTGTTCAGCAGTTGAATTCGATAGGCTGTTATGATGATAAATACATTTAAATTTACACATTGTTAAGTTTAAGCCTAAAACGAGGTTGTCTCTGAACTTAGTCAATTTTTACAACACATAATGAAAGAAACGTAGGAGGATTCCTACGTCACATTCACTCAGTAAATCTATTACAAGAACACATAAC